GAAAGAGAAGAAAAAAGATGATTTCCAAGGTGGATGGACTCTATGGATACACTATATAGAAGATCTGAAGGACCAAGTTCAGGGTAGATTCTCCTGGAGAAAATCTATTTATGTGGTTGCTGAATCAACACCATAATCAGCTGGCAGCGAGGTAAAATATTTTTTCAGCAACATGACACCAGCACTGTTCTAATAAAAATACTTTCTTAAAATTCTATCAAACATTCTCCCATAATTTGGCCTCTGAAAAATTACATTAATATCAATAAGCTCAGCAAGTAAAGTATTTTGCAGGCAAGATAGTTTACATTTAATTTTATAAACTAATAATATGCTTCAAAGTTGGGGAAAGGACTCACAGTTCAAATGTCAAGGGTCTCTGCCATATTTTATAGTCATGGGCACTTGCTAATATTTTAAAACAGTAGCTATGATTTCTCTAAAAGTAGGAAGAATAATCAAACGATAAATTTAAGCTTTTGAATAACTTCCTTCTTTTCCCCACAATTTGAAAAACTGATGAGTGAAGAAAAACTTAACTGCAAAAGGCAGTAAAACGTATTTTTTTCTACGACAACTGTTAAGATACAAACGAGTCTGTTATGTCACATTTCTCCAGAAGTTTACAGAATATAGAATATAGTTTAGCCATAGAATTCTGTTTCCAAAGAATATGCTTAATAATAAATGTAAGATTAGTGGTGCTTTATTTTGTATATTATATTGCTTGTCCTTAGTAATTGGAATAATTTTCTCATTTATCTAAAAAAAAAGATATATTTAACACTGTAAAGCTGTTGAATAGAAAAGTGCACTGATTTAAGAGAAGCAAATTGTATTATAAAAATTAGAATCAACTGGACAAAATAACAAAATAATGCAAATTGTAATCAGACCTCAGAATTCAACATTTTGGGAACTAAATGGCTTCTGTTGGTCAAAATTTATTTTTTATCTTTAAATCAAGACATTAGTGTTTGTTATAATGCTAAGTTTATATTTAAGCTAAGGATAGTTTACAGATGGTACCCCTGTTACATTGCTTTCTATGTTTTTCTCAAGGTCACTTCCTTAACAATATCATGTTTATCATACTACTCTGTCTGGGAATATTGAAAGGCATGCTTATAATTGTACAATTAATATCATATAATCATTACTGATATGGAAAAGATGAAGCCGAGGCCATTGATATTAATCTTGGCATAGAGGTCTATGTTAAAGCAATGAACCCATAACACTAGCCTACCTCTAAGATTACATAGCTTCCCTATGTCCCACGGTCCTCATGTGTGAACATTTATTGGAGCAAACACTACAAGAACTGTATCTCAGTCAGGCCTCATTCCACCTCCCACAGAAGCCTCTTGATATAGATTTACTCCAACAGGTGACCACGTTCCATTCATGGACTCTGATCAAAACTAAGAAAACCCCATCGTTTTCATTGGCATTTTAATTACAATTAATACGTAAAGCAAAATGTACAAAGGTTATGGATACTTCTTTAGAATATTGAAATTAGACTTGGAAAAATATTAAAGTATCTACAGTCAGTAATCTAAAACAAAATTAGGTGTACATAACTCTAGTTCAAAATGAGTGTCACAGACTCAATTAGGGTTGAGCAACTAATATGTTTAAATTGCGGAATCATCTGAGTATGTAAAAAAGAGGAAGACATTGACACTGTTCAAACTACAATTCTGGGAACTTCGTTGGAAGTAGCCTGAGTCAGAAAATACTCATATTCTATCCAAAGTACCAAATAAATTAGTATCCATGTGAAAGAAGCATCTAAACTATTTTTATGACTGAATATGTGTCTTGTGTGTGTGTGTGTACATACATAGATGTTAACTGAAACATTAATCCATCACTCTCTGGTGTGGTGGCAGCAGTGTCTCAGATAGAAAGTCCATAAGAGATTGGTAAGGGCAGCTGAGAAGATCATAGGAAGCTTGTTTCCTGGTATTCAGGATGCTGCTTATAAGCGTTATGTGCTTAGAGTTCAAAGCATTATTGGAGATCCCATATACCCACTTTATGGTCTGTTTCTGTTGCTCCCATCTAGGAGGAGGTTTCAAAGTATTTCTAGCAGGACTACCCGATTCTGTAATAGCTTTGTTCCCTATGCCATCTGTCTGGTAAACTCGTAAGATTTGTTTTTCTTGCCATGCACATGTATTCATAATCTGAAGTAGACTGTGTTGTTTCTCTGTGTCATATAATATATGTGGATATGTGCATAATTCTGCATTTATTTGTTTGTTTGTTTATGTCATATTTATGTAGTGTATATTGGAGGTGGTGGTCCTTTGAGAGCTGAATGCAATGAAATTTCATTTTAGTATATGCCGATTAGTGTACATTCAAAGTGACAATAAAGTTATTATTCTATTGTATTCATTAAATATAGACTAATCAATTAAAGTCTTCATGTGGAAACAAATATCCTTACACAAGCTGCAAATTCTCCCTCTTAGAAGCTTCACCCTCTCACTCAAGGATATAGTCAACAGCTACCTTAAATAATTGGTGATTCTTTATCTAATGAAGTGCATTAAGGCCAGCAGTGACCATCATACAGTGTATGTCAGATGACCATCTTCCTCTTCTTCACCAATAGTGCTTGTGAAAAAGCAAAATCTACCTGTCCCTCAAAATATGGTCCTAACTGGAAAGCAACAAAAATGTTTCAAAGGTCCGAAATAGTAAAGAAAATCACTTTGTACAACAGATCAGGAGATAATGCAGAGACAACCTATAGCCAGAGACCATTTCATTCTTTTTGTGCTTGAGGAAAACAATCCAAAGAACATCAACTAGTCAGACCTCATCAACAAATGGATGTTACCCTTTAACAATAGGCTGGGTTTATCTCCCATTGTATTGGCAGAGGCAGACCAAAGTCAGAGGGCAGAAGTGGAAATAATGGAAAAGCAAAGGGCAGTAATGGAACTGCAGAACATATGGTGGTCATATTCTTTCTTTTATTTTGAAAGAAGGGAAAGCTCAGTTGGAGCTAGCAACTAGTGAGACTTTGAACGAAACTCAATCAGAAGAGAGCTGGAAGGGACCTTGGAGGTCTTCTAATCCAACCCACTACTCAAGCAGGAGACCTGATATACCATCTCAGACAGGTGGCTGTCCAGTTTCTTCTTAAAAACCTTCAGTGATGAAGCAGCCACAATTTCTGAAGGCAAAAACTGTTCCTCTGGTTAATTGTTCTCACTGTTAGGAAGTTTTTCCTTAATTCCAGGTTGATTCTCTCCTTGCATTGGTTTCCCTCTGTTGCCTTCTGGTGCTTTGGAAAATAAGTCGTCCCCCTCTTCTTTGTGGCAGCCCCTCAAATACTGGAATACCGCTATGATGTCAACTTTGTTACCTGGGTGGCATGAGGCGTACAGTATTCCTGCTCACGAGGTGAAGCAGTAAATAAATAAATTATATATATATATATGTGAAGTTTTTCAGGCAGACCAGTCTGATTGAGAACACCTGGACATTTTTAACTGCTATACTGCAGGTTTTTTTTACTTTTTACAATATCTTTTACCATGCAGCCCCCCAACTAGGGGCATTAAGCAGGCTCAAGTCGCAACTGCGAAACATTTTTAAATCTAAATTTCTTTTTCTGACAAAGAGTTAAAGAATTAAATCGGGAGACTAAGATGGCCATTTCTAGCTTGTTCTGCTTTCATCAGTTAGCCATACCCTTTATGGGATTCGAACCTGGGCAGTTTACATACTAGGCAGTGATTCAACCACCAAGCCACAGGCTCTCCTCCCCTCTTTGCCAGTGTTAAATATATTATATAATATATAAGAAGATATTTATATTTATATATAAGATATAAGATATATTTATATATATATAATATATAAGAAGATATTTATACTTATATATATCGGTAGCAAGGAGAGTAAAATCCTCACTGACCAGCCACGCCCAATGACTAGGGCTTGGTGCCGGATGCAGAGTAATGGCCAGTTATAAGGGGGCTTCTCCCGCCCTGTATGAACTACAGCCCTGAGGAAGTTGGCAGTTTGCCAACGAAAGCTAGGTTTTTAATTCTTGTAAGATTTCTAAAGAACAATTTTATAGG